GCTTCTCGGATGAGAGGTGAAACGTCTTCAAGCAACTTAAAGAAGTCCAGGTGCTTTTCTTTGCAAGCTCCTTAGACTATGATGACCTGGATGACTGAGGACACTCACAGACATGCTCTTATTATTCTTTCTAGGTCACAAAATAAACTTTTAACATATTTTCAGGTGAGAATGTAGCTGTGTAAACCTCAAATATCTGCTCAGTTTATCAAGACATCACATATTTGCAAAGGTGCTCCGACGTTTTCAGAGACATCTGTTATCCACCAGCTTGATAGCTGACTGGGGGTTCAAGGGTCACTTGAGCCGGCGAGAACACCAGACCCCCGGCACATCGTTAATCATTCAACTCCCGCGGTCTTTCGCTACTCAGGTTAAACATGATATATAAGTCACTCAGATAACTTAAGATGTTATTGTTTTGGTTTTTTCAGTCTTTTATTTGTTGGGGAATAAATCAGTTTGGCTGAGATTAAAGTTATTAGATTTGATTAAATAAAACGTTATTAATCCCTCGGGAGCTGGCTGAGGTCGTCAACTTTGCAGTTACTGAACGACGTGGAGATGCAGCTGGTCAGAACGCTCTCTATGGTGCTCCTGTAGAACACGGTGAGGATGGGAGGAGGGAGGTTGGCCCGCTTCAGGCGTCTCAGGAAGTGGAGGCGCTGCTGGGCCTTTTGGTGACGGAGGTGATGGATGTGACGGAGGTGACGGAGGTGATGTTGAACTTAGGAATAAAGGTTTAAACTCGGGAGACCAACTCAAACTCACGTCAGCTGCTGCCCCAGCTGTAAGTGAGTGCAGTCCTTATATAATGTGGTGAGTGCAATTAAGGGCAAACTCTAGAGCCAGTCAAAGAAAAGGAAACAAGGTAAGTCAGGTAAGGTTAGGGGGAGTGAGGAAGAAAAACAAGAATCTTTGCAACAACTACTACTCGTAGACTACAGTGTGGGTCATTTATATGGATACACCGCAATAACATGGGAATGGTTGGTGATATTAAAGTCCTGTTTGTGGCACATTAGTATATGTGAGGGGGCAAACTCCTCAAGATGGGTGGT